ACTCTTTTAGAATATTCTCCTGAGTTTACACACCTATAATATTGAAATAAAGGAACTTAACAACAAAAAGGGATGCAGATGAATGTCCATTTTGTATCTGTGTATTCAAATGGCTAGGATCTATATACATTTACATTCTCTTAATGAATAGAGAGATTTGTTCTAATGGTGTTTGTAAGTAGGATATCATGTCTGCATCTTATACAGCAATTAACCACTAGGAAGAATGCATACAATGTGTTAATTATTGAAACTTTCCTACCAGTTTGGTTTAAAACTGTCTCACTGATACTTATTTCTCAATAAATTTATGGAAAAAAAAAAGTGGGTCAAATTCCATGAGACAGGACATTCATTCATTGTGCTCCAAAAATGACATTTCAAGGACAGCAGCCCGTAACCAGCCCGTAACTCACAATCCCTCTGTTGGCCAGTGGGCATCCTCTTCTATCCGTAACAGTTCTTCACAATCTCCTGCCCTGTCCTGTGGAGAGAACATACAAGCTTCCTGAGGATCACTGGGCACTTGGGGAAGGGTTGAAACCTTCCCAGCCCACATCCACCGCAGCGGAACTCACTGGTGCCAAAAGGCAAGCTCAGTCTCCACAGGTGGATGGGTGGGCAAACAGAACATGGCACAGATGTATAAAGGAATGTTGGCCTTAAAAAGGAGCCTGTGTATGCATGTATGTATGTATGTATATATATATATATATATATATATATATATATCTTGAGATTATGTTAAGTGAAATAAACCAGTCATAAAGGTCAGTAAATAAGATACCACTCATGGAAGGTACTTAAAATAGCCAAATTCACATGAAAAAAGTAGAATGCTGGCTCTAAGGAGCAGGAAGGAGAGGTGGGAAAGGTTGTTCCACAGGTCTGCTAGGGTTCTGATCTAAAATGTCCCCCAAGTCTTGTGAGTTCAGTGGTGGGGCTTTTGGAAGGTGACAAGATTAGGCAGTGCTATACTCTGTGCTGCGTTCGCAGTGCAGTGTACCCTTCAGAGTGAGGGCCTGGCTGCAGGAGGCAGGCCACAGTGGGTGGGCCCCCGGGCTGTCCTCCTGCATGGCTCCCCTCTTCTCCCTCTCCTTCCCGGCTACCATGGTCAGGAGCCTTCCTCCTTCCTCCCCCACCCCCTTCCATCCTGTTACTTCTGCTTTGGAGCCATTGGTAGTCCAAATTCTCTGAAATCATAAGCCAAATTAAATTTCTCCTCCTTTAAGTTGAATTAAATTTCTCTTTAAGTTGTAGGTGGTAAAAATTTTGTTCTAGCAATAGGAAATTGACTAACACAGCGTAAAGGTCTCAGTTCTGCAAGATGAAAAGGACTCTGGAGATGGGCTGCCCAACCATGTAAATCTACCTGATGCATCCTGAAGTGTATGCTAAAAAAATGCCTATGAAGCTATGTTTTACAATGTATGTGTTTTACCATAATTAAAAGTTAGATGATTAAAAACTTGAATAACAACAACCTGTCTCAGGACTGCAGCATCTGTTAGCTGAGCAACAGCTAACATTTTAGCACCTTAACATGTTGATAGATTCCTGCCACCCACTACGAGTGAACGGGCATTCTAATGTTTGTGAGACAAGGGGCGTGTACCTGTGTGCATGCATAAAGCGTAGTGCTCTGGACAGAGATGTGCCCCATGAGGCATCCCATAACTCATCTTTATGATGTCAGATGTCTCCCAAATGTGTCATTTTGAAGACACTGAAATGGGGAAGCACTTGAGAAGGCCACGTCCTGTTGCCCTTTCAAACATTCATTTATGCTTTCATTTCTGACACAGAAGTAACACTAACTAAGCTGACATCCCCTAATGGCTGTGTGTCCTGGTCAAGGATGGAATGCCATAAAAATGGATTGAGGGGCACATCCTTACATAACTCAAGACCAGCAAGCCACCAGGTGTGACACTAAGCCACCACTTTCCTCAAAGGGGAGCTGGCTTACTTACACAGTCTCTAGCTCAAAGCACTCCAAGTTTTTTCTATTTTGTTTTCAAGCTTAGCATACAGCAAAGTCAACACAGAAACTGCTGTGTCACTGCTGGGATGACAGTAAAAGCCTTGGGCAAAAAGGTCCTACCAGAAATGATGGATGTAGCTGTCTCCTCACGATTTTCAGTTTCAAAATGAAAAGGCGCCAATAGCATGCAAACACCTAGCGCTTCTGCTTCTTTTTAGTATGCTAAGTACCCTTACTGAGTTTCTTCACTAAATTACATGGTTATACAGTGGACTCTGCACTTGCAAACTGCCTACTCACTAACGCTGTTACTTGGAGTGTTTTCAAAGTTATTCAGACATGCAGAGGGAGGAAAAACAGCAGCTTCAAGATGTGTAATTTCTCAACTGAGGTGAACAAGGCCACGCTCACAGACTATTTAATGCCATGTTTTCATACTTTTGTGCCACTTCTTAATTTCACCATTTAAAATGGCCCCTATCACATGGGGAGAAGACACTCTCTCAGGCATTCACAGAGAGCACATTGGCCAAGCAATGGCCGTGACTCATCCACATGGCTGCACTGATAAAGGTTCTACAATCTGAGGTACAGGATCTCAGGATAAATCCTGAGGGTATTTCACTGACCTTCTCAGACCAAAAAGCTACAACTCTTGTTGCATAGGTCATGCTTTACCTTGGTCTTAACCATCCAACAGAAAAGTATGAAGTCGAAATATAAGAAATAAAGCCATGCTGTTAAGTTGAGCTGTGGGGGACTCAGGTCAATAATTTCTGACATTGCCAGTTAAACAGAAGACCCAATGCTATTATGGGCTACTGGACTCTTTTAGAATATTTTGCTGAGTTTACACACCTATAATATTCAATAACGGAACTTAGAAAAAATGGGGCATACAGATGAATGTCCATTTTGTATCTGTGTATTCAAAGAGGTTGGGATAGATATATAGTTGCATGGTCAATGAATAGAATGATTTGTTCTAATGATGTTTGTAAATAGGATCACAAGTCCGCATCTTGTACAGCAATTAACCACTAAGAAGAATATATGCAGTGTATTATTTGTTGAAACTGTACTTCCAATTTGATTTGAAACTGTCTCATTGCTGTTTATCAATAAAACTTTGAAAAAAATAAAAATTAAAAATAAATAAATAAAATAAAATGGCCCCTAAACACAGTGTTAGATACACTCCATTTGGGAATGAGCTGCATTGCCGATGGCTGTGAGTTCAGCGTCAATGAGCAACGGTACACAGTCATGTGCCACATAACATCTGGTCATTGGTACAACGCATTAACAACAGTGGTCCACAAGAGTCTATTGTCCACTGCTGCACTTGCCATTTTAGTTATGTAAATATCCTTCCGGAATTTTGCAATATGAAAAAACTGCCTACCAATACATTCCTCAGAATTTACCACCACCATTAAGCAATACCTAACTGTACATTAAATAAGATGTCTTTAAGCAGAAACACACATAAAACAAGGTTATGTACTGACTGGATGACACAAATGTGACCAAAGGCTCAAAGGAACTTCGCTTTGTATTCTCTCTAGGCACAGTGGCTTAGTATTAGATAATTTAATGTGCATTGTGGCTTCAGACAGTATCACTACTGGGAATAATGAAAATAGACTACAGTTACAGTACAGGATGCTAATCCAGTAAATAGGCCAGCATTATGGAAAACAGAATTCTCGAGGCTCCCAACAATTTCACACACTTGCTGGGTGCCAAGTACACGTTCACAAAGTAGTGCTGGAAAAGCCCAATGTGGCTGATTTCCATATGCAACTTTTCCTTTTCCTTGTGGTAGACTGAAATTTTGTTTAATTATGAGCATTCTTCCATTGATTTTCCAGGTTAAGTAACTTCCAGGAAACATTTTCCTAGTTGACTTCCTCAGACTGATATTCAATCTGCAAGTGAGCACAGAGTCCGCCTCCTGAAATCTCTTTATACTTTTCTGAAACAGCATGCTTTCTTCACTAATTACTTTGTTTCCTAAATTTGAGCATCTTCTAAACAAACTATCCATAGCTTCTATCTTTTGATTCTCAATTGAAGATGAACTCCTCATAAAATGAAGACCTAATTATCCATATTTTTGTATTTGGACTACACACAGGCGTGATAGACAGGGGTCAAAGCCAAGGGAGCTTTGTGAGAAGGACTGGCCTGAGAATACTGAGATTAGACTGGTACTGTCAGAAAACAACTAGTGACAGACACAGCGTGCACAAACACACACATACACACACACAGAGTGTAGTGTTGAGTGAGAAGCCAGCAGGTGCCCCTGCAGTTTTCAGGTAAAAAGTGAAGAGGCACAGCCAAAATAACATCCATGGACATGAGGGCAGAAATGAGAATTGATGGGTTGAGGTCAGAGCACAATTAAGAGAGCAAAGCTTGTTGTATTTTATCTCTCCATTTTTTTCAAGGCATGACCATTTAATTCAGATCACAAAACTTGAGATGCATACCTAATATATAACCTTCTTATATTATTTAACTGCAAATGAAGTTTCTTCTCAGGCCATCAGTGCAACTAAGTTGAATTATCTAAATAAACTTCTAATGCCATTCTTACAGTATTATATGTAGACTATATTGAGAATAAAATTAAACATTACTTCTTTTTTAAGGACTAATGATAAATGATGAGGTAGAATAGCTTCAGCAAATTTCCTAGCACTAGACACCTAAATTAAGTTTGCACTGACTTTAAATACTGGTGGCTTTTTAGGAATGAGAGATCTGGGTTGCTGAGTACCTACTCTCTAATGCAAAGACTTATGCTGACTTTTTCAGATGGTTCAATCTCACTAACATGTAAGCCCTTAGTAGACCCCTAATAAAAGACCAATTTGTAAAACAGCCATTTCAATACTTTTACAATTTAATAAATAGCTTTCTTGATGAATGTAGTCATGACAGTTGTTTAGCAGTATTCAAGTTATAGTTTTCCTTATTGGTCTGTAGTCTTCAATAAGTGTAAGGTTATTGGATGAAACATCTGTGAAACAAGTAAGACCACACTGATGTATCCATCATTTTCAGGACTGTTGGTTACCTGGGCATATTTATCCCTGATAACCTTGTCTCCTTGTGTCACAAGGCCCAACTCGCTCACATTCACCTCAATCACTGTTCCTTTGGTAATAACACCCAAAGTTGTATACAGTGGCAATGAAGGATTATTTTTCACACTAAGTATTGGCAGGTGAAAGGTGGCTTTCAGTTCAGGATGTGTTACGTGGGCCTGTTTACAGTGTATGCCCATTGGCCTAATGAATCTTTCACATTTAGATGGTTTTCTTGTAAAGCCATCTCCAACAAAGCAGACTTTAGTAACCATCGTCTTCCATGCCTTTTTTCTCTTTCCAGTTTGAATAACTTTTAATACTTCTGTTTCTTCTTGGGCACAAACTTTGGGCAGAGGAATTTCCCGTTTTCTTGCCTTTTCTTTTTGTTTTTGTCTAATCATGTTGGAAAATACTTTTGCACGAGACTGTCCTCTGTCCAGCAGGTAGGCAGGTACTGCTCCTTATGCAGTAACTTTTTTTTTAAACTGGGGATTAAATTCAGGCCTGTTTGCTTGCCAGGGAAGCACTTATTCTACTGAGCCCAGCCCTCCTTGTGCAGTCTTTTCATTGTTCTTTTGTTTGGTGTTTCTCTTTTCATGCATCTTGATAGTCTTCTTCATTTGTATTTTCTCTGCATGGTGCTGTTTGTGGTACAGCTTGGCCTTCAGGCCAATCATATTTTTGCCTTCTTTGAATGTTCATATGAGCCTCTTGACTTTCCTTCTTTCTCTTTTTCTCATGGTAATCCAAGTGGTACCCATAGCGTTTATGGTGTAATTCAGTATATTCATTCTGTGGCATGATGACAGCTGCAGAGCTACTATGGACAGCCTCACATGTGCAAAGAAAAGTCCTGACTTTGGGGTGTCTCTGACACAGGAGCTACCTCTACGCAGCCGGAAACAGGAAAAGATCCTTCCATTTTTTAAATTCTTTCTTTTAACTACTGGAAATTGATCCAAGGACCTCTACCCAGCTATGTCCCCAGCAATTTTTATTTTTTATTGTGAAATGGGGTTTTGCTCAGGTGCTCAGGCTGGGCTTGAACTTGCACCCTTTTTGCCGTAGCTTTCCAGAGTGTTGGAATTACCAGTGAGCACCATGACACCTGGGCTCCTTCCATATGCCTTTGCAATTATTTTAAACCACTGTATTCCATACACATGTGGCAGGTTTGTTATTTCTGTCATGAGGTCAGAGACACAGCTTAAGCAGATCAGAATCTCAAGCAGCGTGAAAGTCAGCTTGCCTCCCTCCCCAGGGCCTTGAAGGTGATCCCCAGAGATGTGTGTTTAGACTAAGTGCAAACATCATGACTTGATCCTCAGAAAATACGGATGGCTTCTGATGCCTCAACATCAGATCTGCCTGAAGACTTAGAGATTCACCTGCCTTTTCAGCAGCTCAAGGCAACGGCAGCTGTTCAGGAATAAGTGTCCTTGCGGATACCTGTCCCAAGAAGTTTATTTCCAGATTTTCAGGATCTCCACTTTTCTATCCAGCATATTTGAATGCTCAACAAGTCAGAGATCTTAGAACACCTGGAATTTCAGATTTTCAGACTAGAGATGGTTATCCACCTATGTAAACATTTCCAAAGTGAAAGAACTCTAAAATGGAAAACAGTTTTGGTCCCAAGCACTTTGGATATGGGATAATTTGTTTTTTGAATCAAAATGTTCAGTTAGGACATACTCCGAATATGAAACTGCTTTAGCTTTTTTTCTGAGTAGGATGTAACTCCAGGTCTGTTAACTTTGCCTATATGCAGAGGCATGCTTGGCTGGAGGAGGGCCTAATGTCAGAGAACAGACAAGAAGATGAGCTAAATGCGTCAAGAAGGCTGCAGAAAACTGAATTTTGAAGGCGATGGACTGGAAACCTTGAACTTAAATCCTGAGGTATCAAATAGAAGAAAATGAAGACAAAAAATTAGTTGATACTCAAAATCTTGCCTTAATATAGTTCATAAATCCCGAGTGGAGAACACCTGCTCCATCAGCAAACTGGTCTCTTTCTTGTCCTGCGCTGCTGTTGTCACCCAAGAGGGAAGGCTCTGGCTGAAATTCCTGATGAAATTTCTCTGTCAGGGAAATAGAGAGAGAGGAAGAAGCATGATTTCATGAACAGGAGCACAGAGGAGAGATGATCCGCAAATGTACGTCTGATGGCTCATCTTCTCTCCTCTTATCTATTACGAGGGTACAGGAATGACTCAAATGTTCTCTTCCCAGCAAGACATGAGGAAAAGAATAAAAATAGGAGGGACAGGAATAAAATTAAAAGAAACAGAAAACCCCAATTTAAAAAATGTAAGGCCTCTTTATGGTTTAATCTATGAAAGAAATGGATTTCTCCTTACATGTTTAAGGAATGAAGAAAGAAATTATAGAAGAAGGCTTAGTAATATGTGACTAAGTACTTCAAATTATAAACTCAATAAATATTTTTTGAGCAGTGGCTCTAGTAGATATTATACTATTCATTTTAGGACTTAGAAACAAATCATTTAAGTATGAGTTCTGTCCTTATGTAGCAAATGCCCCCAAAGAAGACTGTGAGATAAGACTAGACAAGAACCCCAATCCTAGTGACAGTGGAAAATGCCAAACACAGAGGCCAACATGTGCCCAGATGGTGAATACACAACTAGCACGAGTTCCAAGGGATGCTGGGAGGTGACAGGAATGCCATGGGGGAACTGCTCTGACCTATTTGAAGATTACCAAGGACAACAGGCCATCCTCTGAGGACTGTGAGCCAGAAGTATACCCAAGTCTAGAGCAGGGAAAAAAGTTCACTCATATATACCATACTACAGAATTCTCTTACTTGAAAAAATGGCCTATAGCACAGCCACCCACACAGCATTATGTTAACAAAGTTTATCTGAATTAACATGGAGGCAGGTGAATTTATATTACAAAGGACAACAAGCCTTTTTTATTTATTTATTTATTTTTTTGGCACTACAGGGAATCAAACTCAGGACTTTGTGCTTGCCAGGCAGGTGCTTATGTCCCTGCGCTATCTCCCTGGCTCTGAAATATATATTTTGAAGAGACTTGAAGGGACTGGGATTTTGAAGATATGCTTATCACTATATTGAATGATCACTTGGCAATTACTGAAGAGCTATATATAATACATACAAAATAACCCAGTACCATTACGGACTATTGGATTATATTGCATTATTTTGCTGAATTCAAGTACCTACAATCTTGGTCTAGCACCAAGTATGAAAATGTCCTTTAAAGACCTCCAAATACAGCTTCTCTAACAACAATGGAACACCCATCTCTGACAAAACAAAACAAAAAGGGGGATATAAATAAAGGACTATATTTTTTTTGTCTGTGTGTATGTTAAAAATATATATATGTGTATAAAAGATGGTTAGCATAGATATACAGCTACTTTCTCTTAGTTCATTGAGAGGAAAGGTTTGTACAAATATTTTTTAGACAAGATATCATGTCTCCATCTTGTCCTCTGAATAACTACTAGGATATACAATGTATTAATTACTAACTGTCGTATTAACCTGTTTTGAAACTATTTCATTGTTATTTTATCTTTTTTCTCATTAAAATGAAAAAAAGATAACATAGCAAGCATTCTTAATTAGCTATCCCTGTTTTGAAAATCTGTAACATATGCAGTTATGTTACCCTGTTTCTGTCATTTTTTCTATTTGTTTTGGCTTGTTTTCATTCTTTATAATAAAATATAAAAAGGAGACTAGAGCTGACCTAATCACCTCATTGCATTTACAGTAGAGGAAGTTAAGAGCAACTGCCCATCCAAAGTCACATACATTCCCGAATACGTAACTTATTAGGGTCATGGAACGAAGTCTGTCTCACGGGGACGGGTGCTACTTCCGGGCCCACCCACAGAAGCCCCGCTATGAGTAAACCTCCATGCTCTGCCCCTTTCTTGCTTAAAATAAATGGACATGGGGACACTGGATGTCCTGTGTTAACAACAGTGCAGCCGCAGACGACAGGAGCGTGGGACTTCGAGCCACAAGTGGATGAGAATTGCCAGCAACCACTACCGCCCGGGAGGACATACCGGGACGGTGTTACGCTATCGAGATCTAGGGATTTTATGTGTGGCAGCAGCTGGAATATCAGTAAGGCTACAGGGGCATCAGGGGGTGTACACTTGTTATTTTAGACATAGCAAGTGACTGAAAAGCAGGCAGTGCCTGTCAGACCTGCAGCAGGGGCAAGGCGATGGCACACGTCCTCCCTGACGACCTGCTCTTCTTCCATGATATTTGACATTGGCACGTTGAGGCTGACGGCATCTTCATCAGAAGGCTAAATAGGCAGAGAGCAACGCTTCACTCAGGGAAAAGGTTTTAGCAGCAGAGATAGAGAGAATACTATATAATAACACAATGTCTCATGAGCCTTACAAACATCACGCTGAATAAAAGCATCCACCAAGGGACATAAAGGATACTTCCACTTATGGAATTTCCAAACAGCAATAGTGACCTATGGTGTTTTAAGTCTGAAGTGCTTATTCTCAAGGCTGGTGTGTGAGTGAGGCTTTCAAAGTTGCTGTTAAGGCCGGAGAGATGGCTCAGTGGACTAAGCACTTCCCAGCCACGCACAAGGGCCTGAGTTCAATGCTCGGTTCAGCCAAGGTTGCTGTTAAAGCGCTCTCTCGCTTTCTCATTCGCACACGCTCGCTCCCTCCCCCTGACTCTCTTTCTTTCTACCATGGCAATGTTTTATTACAGGTAGGAAAAGAAAGCTCTGCAGAGTGAATTTGGCCCAAGTAAATATAGGAAAAGAAGGACACTGTGCAGTGCGAGGAAGGACCACTATGCAAGAGAGAACACGGTGGCTAAAGCTGTTTCTGGAACTGTGAGCTGTGTGTGTGTGTTTATTCTATGAAACTGCATGAAGGCTAACACTATGTGTGCTTCTCTGCATGCATGTTATGATCAGAAATCTTGTCATGTGCCTGCTTTTCTAAATGAACAGTAAGAGTAAGGACATTAGAAAGGACTATGTAGTGTTCAACATGACAAAGTAATAATTGTAAATACACCACTACACTAGTTCTAAGTTTACTCATCATTTTAACAGTAGTAGTGCTCTGATACCTAATGACGAAGCTAACTTTCCAAAACTGTATGAGGGTTTCATGCATCTAGCCATAGAACACAGGCAGTCAATCTCTAATGACAGTATTTCATTATTTAGAGTGCATCTTACATGTGACAGGATACATTTGGCTTTGACTGAGAAAGTTGTGCTAAATAGATAAAAGTGCTGAATAAATGTAGTAATCAAAAGAAGCATGTATTCTGTGAGAGTTTTGTTTTGTTTATGAGCTAGGGTCTCACTATATGTAGCCTAGGTGGGCCTTAAACCCACCTAAGTAGCCTAGGCTAGCCTTATACTCACAGCAATCCTCCTGCCTCAGCCTCCTGAGTGCTAAGATTACAGGCATGTGCCACCATGCCCAGCTTCTGTGAGCTTTTTAAAACAAAGCTTTGATGGAGTAACCAGAATTAGTTTCCTCTGATGGTCTCCCTTTCCATACTCACAAAATTTATTCTGAAAAACCTACGCTTCTGTCACACATGAAATACAAAGCCTACGTCTGCATTTCAGTGCTGCGCTTTAGTGGAAGACTTCCCAAGCCGCAGGGAGCAGGAGCCTCCACAGAACACATCCGGGTGACCCCGTCTTGCTCTTCAGTTTTCGGGACTGTGGCTTTCGGAGTCTGTTTCAGTTTACCCCGGCCAGACACAAAGCTGGTAAAGGCAACCACAAAAGGAAGGGAATGGGGGCCAACCAGCCAGGGCCCAAAATGAGCAGCAAGCGGGAGCAGGATGCTGACGCACTTGCCAGGGTAAAAACCAGAACAGCGTCCTGGACCATTCACAACACTTAGCCGTTCTAAAAATAACTTCTTGGGGCATTCTTAGGTAATGAGGTTATAATGTGAGAAAAGGCCAAAGAGGAGATTTATGCATATTATTCTGCTGAATATAATATTTTCTATAGTTCCTTTTCCTTCTACCCACCTCCCATCTTAAAAATTTAGCAAATTCCAAAGCTATGCATTTAATTAAAAAGGAGAGAAGAACTCCTCAGGCTCCTTTTAGAGTGATGCTAGTATCCAACTTACACTAAGTGCAAAGAGAGAGATAATGAAGTTCTTTGTGTAATGTTTTATTAATGAACTTAATTAGCCTTAGAGAGATAAAGGATAATGCAGAGTCTGTTTTATTTTAATAGAAAATACGCCTAGGGTGAGCAATTTCTCAACAATGGTCCATTTAAAGGGACTTATGCGTTTTAATAAAGCTGAAGGGGATGAATTAAAATTCAACTCAGGGAACTATGTGCTTAATATTCCAAGTCCTGTGAGGACACAGCAGCAAACAATGTGGCTTCATGTGGGTTAATTTCTTTTACTGACACAGGCCTTTTTCTGTTTATTGATTTCTTCTTCCTTTCAAAATGTTCTGCGCTAAATGTTAAGGAATCATAACTCCTTTTCATATATTGCTTTGTCTGTTGTGGGAAGAAATTTTAGCATCTTGGTCACCTATTAAAGACTTGAGAAGAAATGAGCAAAGCCATCATCCCGGAATCACATTAGAAACAACGTGACCTCTAGAAAGACTGACTGACTTATTAACTACAACTTCAAGGAGTATCATGTTTCCAAGCTGAAGAACTACAAAAATTCAGTAACTTCCCTCAAAAAGGGTCCCTTATAACACCTTTTTTGTTTGGGGTCAAGAAGCACCACTTGGTGGCCGGTGAGATAGCTCAGCAGTCTTAGGCAAGCTTAGGCAAATGTGCAGGGAACTTGGTTGGATCCCGGGCAACCCACGCCCCAGCCCCGCCCCCAGGGTGGGCTGAGCCAGACACACAAAAAAGAGAGAGAGAAAGAGAGAAGCACCACTTAGTGGTATATTAATGCAAATTTTGGGGATCTAATAGATGTATAAGATAATAAATGTGTTAACAAAGAGTATCTTGTTCTTCAGACTACAGGAAGTTCCAGTGTATATCTCTTAGCTTACAAATAATCAGAATTTCAGAACAGAACATAATCTAAGAATTTTAGAAAAATAAATGTTGCTATAAAAAACATAGGTGCTCATAAATTTATCTTGTTCATAAACTGCCAAAACACAATGAGTCATTTATGTATTCATCTCACAACTTTTTGTTAAATTACTATTACTTAAGAAAAAGATATTCAAAAAAAATTAAAAAGACAAGAAAAAATTAAGGTTTATTGAAAGCAAGTGTTAATATTCAATTATTTGTCCAATCTTGCCTAACTATATCTGTTAAGTAGAGCAACAGATTTGAAGATAAAAATGGGTAATATAACAACTATTATTAATTTGCTATTCTTGTTTTGAAAATCTGTAACATATGTATTGTTGTACGTTACCCTGTTTCTGTCTTTGATTATATGATTTGCCCTTACTCTTCACAATAAAATAAAATAAAATAACAAGCAAATTTATAAAAGTGCTTCATGACTCACTGTATACCACTTTAGCCAATTCATAATATTTATTAACTATTAAAAAGCATCCTAGATAATGAATGGGAATGGAAGAGGAAGAAGATAGGGACCATTGAGGCATTTAACAAAAATTAAAGATGAAGAATATGCTAATAGTAGCTAATATTTACACAACCTTAGAGGATTTCAAATTGCTTCCACAGAAACAACCACAAGGTCTCACACACACATGAACGCCCTCTACCACAAAGGAGTTTAGTGACTACAGGCAGATACGCATATCCAGAAGCATTAAAGAAAAAGATCCGATCCCCTGCCTTACCTCCGTGGCAGATAATCGCTTATCTCCATTATCACTTCCAACTCCCGAGTCAGAATCCTTCTTGCTGGGGTAGACGCCATCCATATAGAATTCAATTCGGAAAAGTTAAAATCACAGTATTTACAACAAGACACCTCACTGTATAGTCTAATAATAACTTTGCTATACACATTTTATTGTAAGGCAATAAATTAGTCCAATATTTAATAATATTAAGATACATACTTAATGAAAATTATATACTTGTACTGTCTAAGTACACGAGATAAATTCTTGGAGTTTATTTCCTTAGACTTCAAGTTGTTTCTTAGAAACAGTTGCCAATTGTATTTTAGCACACAAAAAGCAGCAGAGCTACCTAACTGCTTTTATCTCTTAGGTTACTTTCACTAGTTTTGCGTACTTTTGTTCAGTGATTAAATTTAATAGTATCACACAAATATAAAATGACAGAAACATATTTGAAGCATTATTTAAAAGTGTAGTTATGAGAATTTGAAATTTTAAGTCATCCTGTTTAGCAAAAAGTAAAGGAAAAGATTTTTGGAGTGAAGATTCCTCAAAAAAGATTTACATTTCTATAAATGTGTTCAGTGTGGAAATTTTGTTCTCTGGAAGCTCAAAGCCTGATTATGCCATAAATGGCCCAAGAATGTGTGAAAGGATTCTAACATGTCCACTCAAAACAGGAAGTGGTCAAAAGCTATGCACACTGCATTTTAAAAAGACAACTGAAAAATAAAGCCTGCAGTTTGTCCTAACAATGCTCTGAAGACTAATAATTGCTTAAAAGGCATATGAGTTTAATATGATATGATAATATGATAAACAAAGAGAACTCCTTTTTATTATAAACCTTATTTATAAGTATCGATACACATTCAAGTAGAATAGATTATTAAGAAGATGGCAAAAGGGATTTGAGAGATAGTGAATGGTCAACAGTATCAATTTTGCTTATTCTGATAGTTTCTAAGTGTTGAGCCATAAATTTTAATTGGTTGAGTGAAACTAATGCCCGAACTAGGGATGCCTTCTTCAAGATTCTTAGGTAACTGTGATATAATTTAAAAAGGAAGATAATGTTCCAATTCCACTTCCTCTGTGTGTGTGTGTGTGTGTGTGTGTGTGTGTACCTCTGTAACTGAACACAGGGCCTTTGCAGGGAGCTACTCCCCACCCTGCCTTATTTTATTTTGAGACTGGCTCTTACTAAGTCATTAAGTGGCTCAGGGTGGCCCTGAACTTGCCCATCTCCCTCCCTCAGCCTCCCAGAGTGCTGAGTGGGACTGCAAATGCTTATTGCCATGAGTAGATTTTTGAAATCAGCTACCCACACACCTGTGGCCTAAGCAGACTGAGCAGAGGCTAAGGGAAGGAAGGTCTCCACTCACCTGTCTTCCACTTGCTGGTGTAAATGTGGCCTCTCCATGGTGTGGAGGTACAGGGAGTCGGCGGCCTTGATCTGGCATGCTTGTATGCTCAGATACTTAAATATGTGAACTTTGCCCTTTGTGCAAATCTACAGAGAAATTTATAACACATATTTACTTTCCAATGACAAAAACATGTGTCTGACACCTGAATATACAATTCAATTTCCAACATTTCATTTCAGTAGCACCTTCCTAACAGTGTACACATAATTTGACCTCTTCAAAACATATGAATTTGGGAAACTGCTTCCTCTAAATTCTACCTCATTGAACGTGTTCAGAAAACCAAGCTGAAGAAATTACGATTTTAAAAAATTAAACTACACAATTCTAACAGAAAAATACTTAAGTATAAATGGTGTAAGAGGGTTTGGATCCCTGGTGTGCCATGCTGGCCCTGCCCCCGGGGCACGCTGAGACAGTGATTGAGACTGGGTGTCGTAGCAGGTGCCTGTAATCCCAGTGCTTGGGAGGCTGAAAATAGGAAAAATCACTATAAATCAAATCTACACAGTGAGACCCTGTACTAAATACATAAAAAAAGGTTAACAAATAAATAGTGTAAGAGTCAGGTAACTGGATTGGTGACATTCCAATTATAAAAGATGGCAAAAATCACAATTATTTTCAAGCTTATAAAAAAACAATTAAGAGTTTAAAAAATAATTGCGTGCTTAAGAAGCTGTTTAATAATTTAAATAGAAAATAAACTAAAATATTTACCTGGTTGATTTCCTGAAAACATATATATGTCCAATGATTACCTGCTATTTAAGGCCATCTCATATCTGAACCTGAGCCCTGGCTCTACATAATTAAAACACAATCACATTGTAAGATATTCAACTCTACCTTCCAGCTAATATTCAAACAAACAATATATTATCCCTTGATTATTTCTCAGTTTTTAAAGTTTAATTTTCTTTTTAACTTTTATCAGTACATTTTGCAGCACATTAATGATGACATGCATTGTTGGGAATTGGCACATGGACATAATGGATCTTGAGTCTTTTTCCCCTTCTCCACCTGTTTTTTTTTTTGCCAGCATCAGATTCATTTATTTACAATTATGATAAAGTTAATCACCTGTGCTTGCTTCGGCAGCACATGTACTAAAGTTAATCATCATACACACAGATGAACAGCCAGCCTAACAGGCCAAGACACACAGATGACAACTGTAGGAAGACAAAGCACACTTTTAAATGCACTATCCATGCTTATAGACTATTTCTTTTGTAAGCTGTAAACTCCATGAAAAGCTTTCAAATGCAAATACAAATAATAAGTAATCAAATACACAATTGGGGTGTTGGAGTGATCATAATACTGAGGTGAATGAGAGTAGACAGATCTGAAGTAGCAGAAGGCCACTCAGTGTAGTCGAATTCACCCAAGGTTTCATCTTTTCAGAGCTCACGACTGCTTCTGATCTCGTCTGGCACAGAATTTACTCAGCAGAGAACTGAAAAACCAGCTCAGTGGCCGCTTCCCCAGTGACCCCAAGAGAGCGCTGGCCCCCTGGGCGGTGGTTCGCAGGAGCCCCTACCTGGGCTGGAGGAGACTGCAGCGGGTTATTCTCAAGTAGTAGCACCTGCAGCTTCTTCATCTCTCTAAAACAGATTGGGATCGCAAGCACTTTGTTGCAGGAAAAGTCAAACTTTACCAAGGGAAGATCTACTAATTCTAAAGGAAAAGAAAAAGAAAGAAAGCTCAGCAGCACTCTTAAATGGCTAGCATTCAAACATTAGTTCTCTGCTTAATTGGAAACGTATCACTTAGCGGAATCAAAAGCAAGTTGAGCATTAATAATACAGAGTATGCAAATATGTGGATGAATTTCACTAAATAGGAGAAATCTTTCATTGGGAGTTCAATGAGTTTTAAATTGTGCTTAGCTCTGATCAGAGCGTGAAACACCTGATATTTACAGTGTATTGTTAACAAAGCCTTTTTTTTTTCAGGTGAAAAATACCACGTAAGCTATGACATTTGACACAAATCTTTTAAATTTAAGCTGTTTTTAGGCAGCACTTGCTAGCACATGACAATATGCTGATTTCAGAATATTATCTATTCAACATACATGGCTCGGCTACTCTCAGGACTAGTTCAAGTAACTATGTTTCTGACTTTTTCAAATCCATTAAAATACTTTGGAAATCAAATTTAGAATTTTCCAATAGGCCCTATAATTCTGATTTGATGAGGCTTTATTTTGCTCCTTTTAAAGTTTTTCTGTAGATCTGTGGACAAGATAAAATGTTATATTTAGCTTAAAATCCCCACCCAGTGGCACAATAAACACTCAGTAATTTCAAGCATTCAAACCAACATTGGCAGCTGCTAGAAACGGAGTCAAATATATTCCACAGAGCAAGGAGAGGCTGAGCCACGCCACAAGCTACGGTGACGCTGAGCAGCCCACTGAGGGCTCTGTGTGGAGACTGCAGAGGTTCACTCCAGAACACAGCCTTAGCACTCTTGTTATGGGACCATCGGGGGCTAAACATAGCACATGAAAATACTCCAAGAGCTCCAAAGAAGGGTCAGAACTAGATACAGAAAAGGAAGTGTAACTAGGAGTGGTAGTTCACACTGGCCTCTTCCCCCACTGCCTCTATAGCTACACTGAAAAGTGGTTTTATGCAGTCCAGAAATGGGACTGGACCCTGACAAATGTTTTATATAATGTTAGATAAATGTTTTATATGAATTCATAACAAGTGACAAACCTTACTGAGATAACTTCTGGTTCTACTTCTTTAAAATTACAGGACAGAAAGGGGCAAGCTGTCAGGCAGACACATCACCCTAAGTATATCACGTCTTATAAAACTCTGTCCTATGATTTCATGACCTCCGTTTTCTTTCTTGAACAATGAAGTATTTTAAGTCAAAGATCAAGATACAGAAATAGGATAATAAAAAAGCAACTCTCAGATAATTGCATCAACATCAGATTTCCCTATGACTGACTGCTTTCAAATACCTGCTTTTGCTTTAAAGTCCATTTTAAAGCATATGTTTGCAATTGGCTATCCTCAAGTGTCTAAACAAAACCAGTAAAAATCAACACAACCGGCTCATTAAAAACCAGTGTATGCATTTTGTTTTGCTGCCCATCACCTCATTTCTGACCCACTTTGAACCCAAATATAAAGTTCAGATCCACCACTATAAAACAGGGCTGCTTTCAAGCTCTTTGTGATACAAAATTTCTAAAAATATCTATATTCTTACTTGAACTCTACGCCCTGTCCAGAAAACACACAGCAGAGCCCGGGGCTGTCAGAGCAGGGCTGTCTGAGCAATTCCATGCTCTGGCTGGGATAACTGAGTCTCAATGCTGAGATCCTGGAGTCATCACTGGTGAAATTCACCAAAGTAACAGGGACACCAGTCTAAGATCTCTCAACGGAGGCAGGCCTCACCTGAAGGCAGATTCTAGGGACAGGGTTCTCAACCAGGACTCTCAGGCTAGAAATGCCGATGGCCCGGACTTGCAGGACTAAGTGTGTTCCACTATTACACACATGCTGCAAAACATCACACAACTGTCTAAAAACCATTCATACCGCTCCCGCTGTGCACTTGCTGTAGCCCCCACTCCCACATTCACACGCACAGACCCTACCCTTAGTAGATTGAGACTATATTTGGAGCCAGGACCTCAAGGGAGTAATTAAGTTAAAAATGAAGTCTCAGGCTGGATGGCAATCCATTGGCCTCACTGTAAGAAGAGGTTAGGACACAGATACACAAAGAGGAGATGACACAAAGGCAGAGGGGAGCAAGCAGCTCTCTACAAGCCAGGAAGAGGCCCCAGGAAGAGCCAACCCAGACAACACCTACATTGCAGGCTTCGGGCCTCCAGAACCACGAAAAGATGAAGTTCTCTAACTTAAGCCAGCCAGTCTATGGTTCCTTTTATAGCAGCCCTAGCAACGAGTAAGTCAGCCCTCCCCCTGCCAGAGAACTATACAGGGGGAGGGGCGAGGGGCTGCTGCTGTGGCCCCGATCCACACTGTATCTTGAACAACACATTTCTGTCATCTCACATGAAATTCAATCCATTGTTAACAGACTACACACACAGAAGGTCTGTCTCTTCACAAAAGTAAGCCAAAACAATAATAAAAGTCTTCTATTTTCCCCATTTTCCTCTCCTTTTTTTACCTGGTGGTAAAACTTTCAGGTAGTTTCTTCTGACATTCAGTTCTCGGAGAGACTTCAGCTGGCCTATCTGCTGGGGCAGCACGGTGATCTCGTTGCAGCTGACATCCTGCATCAGAATCAAGTGGAGGAATCAGAAATGCATTTTTCCACATAATCCTACATTTCATATGGAATCTCCTTAAGAAATTTAAATCCTGGGGTAACTATGTGGGTACACTTTCACACTGGCTCCAGGTCCCTACAAGGCTGGCTTAGTGTAGCCGAAAAAAGTAAGTTCAGTTTTAAACACCTGTAGGGAGAGAAAAAGGAGTTTAAAAAGGATGTTCACACCATTCAGTGGCTGCCTGTCATTTTCAGGTTTCATGTGCATCAATTTTACTTAATTCTCACCACAAAACCATTATTAGTACCCTACTGTTTCAAATCAGGAAACCCAGGCTCAGCGGCCCAAGGCCTGCAAATGCCAGTTAACACCAGGCAGGAATTACCACCCACTGAAGGCCGCATCTCACAGGGCCTCTACAGGAAGGAAGACTATCATGCCTCCTCTTACCTAACTCCCGCAGTCAGGAGCACCGAGGCACCGTGTGCACACACTGTTTTATTTAAAGTGGAGGTTTTACCATGAGGCTGGAAGCAGTATAGCTAGCAGATCATTTTCTCATATAATTATAATTTACTTATAACTTATAAGTAAGACTGTGGGAAGCAGGCTTTGGTAGTCTTTGGTTTTAGAAGGCTAGTACTACCCATTAGTCTTTGACGAGGCAGCCACCACCTTTCTCATCGTATCCTTGTTATGCCCTACCCTATCTCTTCCTCTTGGCTCCTCTGTCTTCTCTCCCTGCCCATCGTTTTTCCTGTAGTCTAGACAGTGTCCCTCACCTGGACACTATAAAACTTCTTCTGCTTGGTTTCCATACATTATCCATTTTCCCACTGATCTGCCTTTTACAGAGCAGTGAAGGTTGTATTGTGTTATTCACCAGTTTGCCCATCTGCAGCAAGACCAGCACCCCTGAGGAGGTCCGACCCTTGTTCCTCCAGCGCCATTTCTCTGGACGATTTCCCTTGCCTCCTGCACTCCTGCCTGCTGCTCGCCACGTGCAGTTCTCAGGGGGCACCGTCTGTTGTGTAGACCTGAAACTCGGGCGGGCTCTTCTGGGCCTGCTCCCTCGGTCCTTGACCACGTCCTCTCGCCTCAGCTACTCATCTCCTAAGGTGTAATTTGAGCTTCAGCTTCCTCTTTGGGCCTTTCCTGAGGTTTAGCTACCTCTTCCACTCTGATTTGGCCCTTAGGAGCTGTACGCCTTTCCATTTGGGGCCTGGAGATAGTGAGCTTCTGCATTTCTCTTGCACTTTCCCCTTTCAGCCTCTGAGAGTGATCCTATTTCAAAAAGGCGCTCACACAAGGGTCACAGGCCAGGCTAGAAACACGATTCAGATCAGCGCACTCACGCCCAGGCACTGTCACTTAGGTGCTGGTGCTGGTGCTGGTGACGGCGTGTGAGAAAGAGTCAGTGGGAATTTCTTTCACAGCAGAGAAACAATTTATGTCACTGAACTCTCAAACAGGGTTTTCAGAGTTCAGTGGGGGACAACACAAGACTCTTTTGCATAGTGTGGAAAACAGATTTTAAATGTGAAACTTCGTAGAAGTTCCAAGGACATAATTATTAAGAATAAACTTTCTCTTATAAAAATAAAGAGTAGGGAGAGAGAAGCAAAAAGACATTTAGGCAGCATGTGCACAGCACAAAATCTGCTACAATGAACTCAGGCCATTTTTCAGCAAAAACCACATACACCCTGCTCTGTGAGAATCAACGTGTAAAGTCGAAGTCTTCCTGTTCCCTGAGGTAAATTTTTCCAACATATTTTCGTTTGGTAGTGGTCATTTTTTGCTGCTGCTGTTGTTTTTACTTCTATGTTTAAGACACCTTGATCTCATTATGTACCTTTGGCTGGCCTGAACTCCTGGTGAGCCTCCCGCTTCTGCCTCCTCAGTTCTGGAGCTACAGGCATGGGTCACCATGCCTAGCTTCCAACATATATTTTTAATATAATGATCACATCAAAGAAAATCAATTCCTGCCAGCTATAGTCACTTATCAGTAGAGAAAATACTCAACATACTTAAAAAAAAAACTTCATATATGATAAAAACAGTACTTTCCATGTATAAGAAAAGACATCTGCAAACAAAAACACAAAGTTCAGTACGTTCTGAAGGGTATAGAAAAAGTCAGATTGTTTAATAATACTTTACACTGTTGTCAATTACTTCCTGTCTGCATAAAAAAAAAAACAGGAGGAAACACCCAGGCAGCTGTAGCAGCATTCTACAGAATCAATACTGTAGAAAACAGTGCAAAGCTCGACTCCCTCAAAAATTACTGACCCTTGCAAAATTTTAAAGAGGCTCTGAATTTCATCACAAAAGTGCAATCCCATAGGTAACTGCCTTAATTAGCTGAAGAAGGAGGAAGAAAGAAGGATAATTGTCTAGGTGCCTGGGGATGAGGTACGTCAGCTTTGAAATCATACCAGCAATATTTCTAGACTGGCCCCATCTTCTAGAACAGTTCTGTCCAAATTTAGCCTAAGATAAGGCATAGAATTTCTTTATTCACTTTAAGACAGTACTTAAGAAGACAAATTTTTTAAACAGCATTAATAATTCATCCTTTTATGATTATTAAGAATTTTTAGATTAAAAATTCCAGACTTGGTTACTTATTAGTACAGTTGAATTAATTCTGTCTGAACTTTGTATTAGCCCTAAGCTAACAGAATAATTATTTCAAGCTTCGGTGAAATAGAATGACCATATATTTAGTGTTATAATATTAATTTTTAAATGAGCAACTAGTTCAATTTTATCATTTGCATAAAAAACAAAACAGAAAATAATGTGGTTTAAATTTTGCCTATTTTCCATTGGTTTAATTATCCTGTTTTTAAGTAAACAAAACAAAAACTTTGGAAATTAAGATTCTCTGTTCATCCCGAAAGCTTCCTGAAGTACTGAATGCATGTGGGAAATTACTAAGTGCTAGTTGCCTTTGCTAGCTGTTTTACCTTCAGAGAGCAAAAATGTGAAGGATTTAAAACACCAGAATAATGCCCCCAGAGATTTTTAGGTAGGTAATACTCACTTTCAGTAAACAATGTATTTTTTAAAAATGAATTTAGGACGTGGTATATAGGGTGTACAGGGTCTCACTACATAGATTCGACTTATAGTGATTCTCCTATTTACAGCCTCCCAAGCACTATGATTACAGGGGAGCACGCCACCACGCCCAGTCTCAATCAACACCTCAGCTCGCCCTGCAGGTGGGGCTAGCACAGCATGCCAGGGAGTGAACCCTGGCTGCTACACGCTGCCTGAGCAGGCGCTTTAGTCTGCTGAGCTATCTTGCCGGCCATAGAAAACAATATTGCAAAGGACTGCAGTGTGTTTTAAGGGTATGAGATCCATCACACACACACAAACCTGTGCCAAGACCGTCTTGGCTGGAGAGGAGTCCCAGTGGGGACCATGAGCCCGGGACATGTGTGGAACAGCACGCAGTCTCTCACTAGCAGCCCTGCTTCAACATTCAGGTTTGGGGTGGTGATGCTACTAGCTTAGTTATAATTTCTGTAACCCATCTAGCTTTTTATTTAATTGAAGGAAATGTGCATGCTCTCACAGGAAATGCAAGCTGTTATCACTTGCTTTGAGTCATGTAACCGTGCCCTTTTGTGGACCTGGGCTTCCTGAGACTCATTGGGCAACTTTTTCTGAAGGTCTTACTCTCTCTGTGCCTCTATGGAAAGAAGGAATGAACACTAAACATTTCTAATTTTCTTCCAGACAGCTGCAGGAGTCTGATTTTCCAACATCAGGAAAATCCATTTATTAGATGAGAAATAATGAAAAGATTTTGGAAACATTTATTATAGCAATGCCAATTATGAATTCTTACCAGCAAAAATCCTCAATATCTGTGGCCAGAACTTTAAAAAAATCAAATCATTTATTTAAACTTAAAAGTTTTTCAAGCACCCTTTTCTATGATCTATCTCTCAACACCCATGTCTCTCCAGTGAAAAGCTCCTTCACACCCATCTACATGCCATAAACATACACGCCACTTCCCTTCTCTTCATGTGAAAGGCAGAAATGGAAGCCACAGAGAGGGCCTGAGCAGGCCCTGGAAACCCAACTGTCTCCCAGGGACCGTGGAGGTCCAGCCACCTCTAGAGACTACAAATGGACAAATGGTTATGGCAGACATATCATTCCTACAACCTACCTCGGAGACCGGAATGCTACACATAAACACAAAGAAGAAACGGGGGAGGATGGAACTGAGCAAAACCAACCAAGGGCCACGCCGGCTGTGAACCCCAGCAGTCGTCATGCATACAGAGCCAATGAGAAGACTCTTTGATCTCCTACAAAAAATGCCCTTTACAAGGCTGTCATTTACAGTGCTCTCAGTGTTTGTCTTCACAGCTGTCTGTTAAGTAAACCACATGGCGTGGCTCCGGCACCATTTACCAAAGACACCACACTCACAGGCACCACCTCACAGGGAAAGGTCATGTTCCCAACGTTCTAACGGGCAGAAGGAAGATAATCACCAAGACAGAAGACTCCAGTTACTGAGCCACCTCACTGGGCTGCACAGTAAGAAACTGTTCCAACAACAGGCCTGCTCATTCTAAACTCTTTTGGGGGTCATTTTCCTATCTTCTTTCCAAGTTCCTGGCATTTGCCAGCTACTGTATATGAACAAACCACAGCAAGGTGAGCCGAAGAGACCCAGGGAAAGAAAGCACGGGTCCTCTCCACAAGACACTGCACAGCCTTGCTGAGGAGACCCTGATGCCCTGGGCTGCAGACTTTCATCAGACCAGCTTGGTTCTGACCCCAGATCCACCACGTAGCCCCATGCCTTATGGAAATAAATCTCAAACTCACACTCCCCTATCATGTAAACATGATACCTGACTTGCTGAGTTATTTTCAAGATTATATGGAATAATACATGTCACTCTGCCTTGTCCCTCACAGAAAGCACACATAGAAAGACTGGCTGACAAGGCAGCACCCACTTCTGTCACAGCTGTGGGGTGACAGCTGCACATGTCAATCACAGCAGCTAAGGAAGCTAGAAAGTGCTACATTATTCCTACTGGAAATGATGCTAAGGGGCCAGCTCCAGGGCTGGATTCCTTAAGTTCTCCTGTCCCGCTGCTTGGAAATACAACCTGGCCACTGCTGTCCATTCATGAAGAAGACATCTCAGTGGGGTTTCTCAGTGGCTTCTTCACAGGAGGGGGACACCCACTTTTTTAGTACTCCCTGCACAATCTCAAATGGCTATACCAGCCAAAGACTGAACCAGGGATGCCTTTTGGTTTTAAGATTCTTAGATTAACTGTGACACAATTACACAGGCAAGATAATAGTTTTAAAAATTCTTTTAATTAATTAATTTATTAATTTATTTATTTATTTGCAGAACCAGGTATTGAACTCTGGCCCTGTGCTTGCCAGGCAAGTGCTTATTCTACTGAGCCATCTCCCTGGCCCCTTTAAAAATTCTTTTAAAGACAGAGTCTCACTATATAGTTTAACTTGGTTGGCCTTCAACTCACTGTGTAACTCAGGCTGGCCTCCAACTTGCATTGATCCTCCTGCCTCAGCCTCCCCGTGTTGGGAGTACAGGTGTGTGCCACCACGTCTGTCTATAAAAGTAAGATAATGTCTTCTTGTTCCACTTTCTTTAAAAATAGGAAAGGACAACTGCTTTTGCATAGACAGCGAAGATATTCTGGTGCTGTGTTTGAAGTGGAAGTTAACTCTGGAATGTTCACCCATATTGGGAAAAAGAGAGCTTACATTTCCATTTAAGATGCTTTGGGTCTGATGTGAAAGTTTAAAAAGTAATTTTTCCAAAACAGCAAACAATGCTTAGAACCTAATAAGCGGAGTGATTTTTGCAGTGTTGAAATACTTGGTGGCTCAAGTATTCTCAGCACTTGGAGAGCTCCCAAGATTTCAACAAATTGGTAATATATGACTATAAAACAAAATCCTCCCATGGTGATCCCTGATTTATACTAAGATCTCCAGGGAATTTTTTTCCAAATGATAACTAAAAATAATCTGACATAGTTACCTTAGTAATACTATTATTTTAAGCAAAATGCTATCAAAGACAAATGAGAATGGATGGAAAAAAATCTTTTTTTAGTTGGTGATCTTCACCAAGGTCATTCACATCACTTCCTCATGGTTAAATAATGTCAACCTACTAAATTTTCATGTAATTTATAGGTAAATGCTTTTTTACTATAGTAAAACTTGCTCAGGTGTAGGCCCACAGAGCCACAGCATCCAGCAGGGTGGCAGCCAGGTGAGATGTGGCAGGTCCACTCCGAGAGACACTGTCTGTGTGAAACACTGCTGCATTTCCACAGGTGATGTAAAAAAAAAAAGAATTGAAAATATCACAGGAATTTTTAAAATCATACACATCTGTATGATAGCATTTTAGCTATTTGGAGTTAAATAAAATAGTATTAGAATTAATTTCACTTGTTTCTTTTTACATTTTAAAGTTGGTCACCACTACATCTGAAAGCACCTCCTCACATACACTGTATTTCACCATTCCATATTGGAAAGGGTGTCTCAGTGTAGGTCACCACTTAGCAATACCAGGGTGACCATCCACACACACATCACACACTGTCTTCTGGACCTGGGTTTCTTCTTTTGGGCAAGAGGTAAACAGGTTAGATTACAAGCCTTTTTAAAATTCTCTATGGCTCTAACATTCTAGAAGTTGAGGGCTCTATAGTGGTGGAGAAAAAAATTAGCGGAGGAAAAAATTCAAGGACCCAGCGTAACACTGCGGTAACTAGGTAACTAGGCCACAGGGCAGAACTCTAGTGGGAGCTGGGCTCAGGACAAGAGGCTAAGAAAAGCTTTTGTTCTTAAAAAAAACCCAGCAGCTCATATGCTTTGGGACTAGAGATAGTGCTCTTCTGGGAAGGCCAAAACTCTTAACAGAATCACAGTGCTGTGTTCTTGTAGTTCTCTGACTCAATTATATAATTTCATAAAAATGTGACCTCCTAACTTACTGCAGCTTATATTTCTAGTTTAGCCATCATTTTTCATAAATTTTATGCAATCTGAAAAAGTCATCTAATTCTAATGCGATAACCTATAAACCAGGAACAGTAACTCCCACAAACTTCAGGAACTATAAACTACAGGAAACTTGTAAATTTCAGGAACTGGGTCGCAGCAAAGCCACAGCTGCTGGTTTCATGTCTATTTAACGTGTATGTCTCACCCTGCCCTCAAACACTCTGGGCTCTGCTGTGGTTTGGAAGCAGTTTGTCGCTCAAGCTCTCATGTATTGGACACTTAGTCCCCAGTTTAGCTGAGAGGCAGAGGAACCTTTAAGAAGCACAGCCTAATAGGAGGTAGTTAGCACTCGGAGGCACTGCCCTCAGAAGGGACTAACAGTTCTCCTGGGAACCCAGAAGTTCTCAGGAATGCTGTTATGGCTTGAGTATAGGTGTCCCCACCCCGAAGCCTCATGCAGTCATGGGGCAGCTTCTGCAGTTTGTGACTGATTACTGCGGGTGTGGATGCTGTACCTGCCCTGGGGCAGATAGTTTGGATTACAATGAAAGGTGGGAAGAAAAGCCAGCTGCTTGAGCTGCTGCTACCTCTCTTGTACTTTTGCTCTTTGCCACCTGAAAGGTTGCTTTCTGATCTGTGCTGCTCTGCTCTGCGCTGCTCTGCCTTGGACCCACCTGAATATGGACTGAAACCTCCAGTAACTGTGAGCTAAATAAACCTTTCCTCTCTTCAATTTGGGTGTCTGGTATTTGTCCCAGCAAGGAGAGAAGTGCAACTAAGATAAGGGGGTTATTATTTTAAAAAGACAAATATTGGTCCTTCCCTGTCCTGTGGCTTCCACCATACCACATGGCCTCTCCCTCTCATATCCACTCCCACTACAATGCCATCAACGTGTTCTGATGTAACCAAGGTGCCCATTACCAGAGGCTGAACAGATGAAGCCACCCGATTTTGGACTATCAGCTTGTAAAATTGTGAGCCAAATAAACCTTTCCTCTTCATACAGCTTCCAGCCTTGGGTATTTTGTTACAGTAACTGGAAATGGACTAACATAGGCTCCTTCTTACCCAACTATAGTAAATTTTTAAAAAATCTTTTACTTATTTCTTTATTTGGCACAGGGTCTGGCTATGCAGCTTGGACTCCTAGTAATCCTTCTGTCTTAGCTACCCCAGTGCTGGGATTACAGGCATGTGTCACCACATGTGCCACTATACCTGGTATGGGTGGCTGGCAGGGCACTCCCAGGGTTCCAGGGGTGGCACAGCATGCAGTAATGGGGATCGAACCCAAGTCCCTGCACTTGCCAGGCAGGTGATTGGACCCTGAGCTATCTCCCCTGCCCAAAAATTTGTTTTGAATATCCTCACAGGTTATGAGCAGTCAGGAAACACAAAGAACATCAGAGAAACCAGTAACGTACCAACTCCATTAACTGTTTGAGCTGACCTATCTCTTCGGGTAGCGATCCGAGCTTGTTGTTACTTGCAATTAAGACTTTGAGAGGCAGACCGCACAGGCAGGCAGGCAGGGCAGACAGCTGATTTCGACTGTGAAGACAATACAACAAGAGCACATGTAAACAGACGGGCCATCTCATGCTTTCTGCAAAGATGTTTTTGAAAAGAAAGGAAAAAGAAATGATGTAAGAAAATACTTTACAAATATAAAAAATATTTTCTGTAATAACTCAAAATTACACACATCCAACAATACAAAGAACATTAACAAAAAGAATCATGGGTATTGAAACATAGTGGGTACCAATGTACAGGCAGATACAAAGAACAAATCCTAGTACACTGTAGCACAGTATGGAGATCATGTTTACAACAATGTATTATATATTTCAAGATAAACCTAGAAGAATTGAAATGCTTCCAACACCAAGAAATGGTATGTTTAATTGCTGTGACTGCCTGGATCAAAACACTTTCCTCACATATACTGAATTAGCACTCTATGCTGTGTGTCAGTGGTAACCAAACAGCTGCGTAGTTCTCAAGGCAACAACTTCTCCAGCACAAGGGGTGCCATCAAGTCCTCTGCAGAAGCCGGACCTTGGCCAGCCAGGGGGCACACAGACAACCCCGCCAATAGCAATGGGAAGCCAGCGCTGCTGCACCTTGGACTTAGATGTCCCCCAAAGGCTGTGGTGTGCTGGCACCACAAGAAGATGTGGAAGCCTTTAGGCGGTGGGGCCTGGTAGAGGTCTTAGGCCCCTGCGGTGTACCCTGGGGGTGGGCTTATGGGACTCTGGTCTCCTCCACCCCCTCTTGGCTCCCTGGAGTGAGCAGCTCACTCCAGCAGGTACTCCCCACCATGAGGTGCTGCCCCACTGCAGGCCCCAAAGTGATGGGGTCAGGCACAAAGGACTTGCACCTAGGAGACTGAGCAAAACCCACCTGTCCTCTTTTTAACTGACTGTATCAGACAGAAGTTTTGTTAAAGACAACTAACGTAGGTGCGAACTGTTTCTTCCCGACATGGGCAGGAAACTCAGCTGAGACCAAAGCAAGAGCACCCCCGAGGCAGCACGCCATCCACGCTGGCCTGATGGAGACGCAAACTCTGCTCTTACAAAGTTACTGAGCCCATTTCTGAGGTTTTCCACTTGGCTTCCTTCTGTTACAACAACAGCTGCTACAGCTGAAGTCTGTTTCTGGGAGCTAAATAAAAGCAAAAGGAGTAAAAGAGGCCTCTGGCACAGTGAGCTTGGGGGCCAAGGAATAGGTAGCCCCACAGACTAGTGACACAGCCTGAGCTGAGGTTTCACCTGGGCCCACATGGACAGAGTCGCCACCCAGAAGGTTCTGAATTCAGTAGGAGAGATACTGGATACGTTTAAAATTTGTATTTGAAATATACAAATACTCTTTATTTCTACATTAGCCACTTGTTTCAGGCTCTTCCCCATCAGAACTGCTTTCTTTCTGGGGAAGGAATAGGAGATGGAAAAACAGGTATGCAACAGGGGCTGAATATGATCAAAATACAGTGCGCACATTAAACTACTCCCCAAAACTTGGGAAACTGGAGGAAAATGGAGGGTGAAGTCAGCATGGAGTACAAGGGCTTGTCTTTCTACAAATCGGCCAAAGTGCAACTTATTAATCTGCATAGTCGTGATGCACTAATAAAAATATGGAGAGAACAAAAGTAATATATTTCTAAAAGGTTCAAAAATAATCATTAGCAAACTCCACCAAGAAGCTACTAGAATTAATACAGAAATTCAGTAGCATAGCAGGTTATAAAGTCAATATCCAAAAGTCAATAGCATTCCTCTACACAGACAACAAACACACTGAGAGGGAAATTATAGAAACAATACCTTTTACAATAGCACCA